GCCACCTTTCTCAGTCCTGACAGCACTGGGGGATTTCCCACAGTGTTCCCCATGATTCTTTTCCTCTCAGGCTCACTTCAGACTGCTCATGTCCCTAACTTTTAGGACCTTCAGTCACATTGGTCTAACTCCATCAGCCATCTTCGAAATTTTCTTTTTAAAGATTTTTTTTTTTAGTAGAAATGCAGATATACAGAAAAAAGGAGAGACAGAGAGAAAGAGCCTCGACTCCCTGGCTCATTACATAAATGGCCACAATGGCAGGAGCTGAGCCAATCTGAAGCCAGGAGCCAGGAACTTCTTCCAGGTTTCCCATGTGGGTGCAGGGTCCCAAGGCTTTGGGCCATCCTCTGCTGTTTTTCCTGGCAACAGGCAGGGAGCTGGATGTGAAGTAAAGCAGCCAGGACATGAACTGGCTTCCATATGGGATCCCTGCATATGCAAGGTGAGGATTTTACCCACTAACCTACTGCACCAGACCTAAAGCTTAGTGCAACTTAAACATTTTGGCAATTTACAGATGGTACCAGCATGATAGCCTAGTGGAAGATTTTTTTCTCATGTGTCTCCTTCTCTCTTTATGTATCTGCCTTTCCAATAAAAAAAGTAAATGAATCTTTATAAAAGAAAGAAAATTTACAGTTTATAAAGTTTCATTCACATTTTATTAGGGATCAGAAAAGTTTACTTATACCTATAAATTATGATCTTTTATAAAAATTTACAAATTATTTTTATTAAAATTTTATGAAATTTGAAAAATATGTGTACAGGTTGGGTATGATAGGTCCAAGGCATAGACTGTTAAGGATGAGAACCATGGCATGGCATAGGCCAAGTTAGATTGGGCCACAACAACCACCAATTCACATGACGACTGGCAGTTGGCAAGGCTGGGCTAGACTGATGTACTAGCTGGCAAGAGCCTGACTGAACCGGTCTGTAGCATCTGCTGATGAATGTAGACTGCGGGTGGGCCATCTTAGGCTGATTTGCAGCACCCACAGTCAAGTATATTACCCAGGGCTTAGAAGGGCTTCCTAGGGGAAAGTTCAGGGATTCCCCTCCTGGACCACAGCTTCCACTGGCAAGCATGACAGCTGGGACTGGGGGAAGGCCAGGCTTGGCTAGTCTGCTGCACTCACTGGCAATTCCTGGTACTGGGTGTGAGTCATGTCAGGCTAGACTTGCAGTAGCCCTTGGCAGGTACAAGATCTGGGTCTGAAAGTAAGCCTGACAAAGAGGCTGTGGGTACTCCCCTGCTGGGCTGAAGTTCCTGTTGGTAAACATGAAGAGTTAGGGCTGAGGGCAGGGTAGGCTGCTCAGGCAGCAATTACAGAATCAGCATATGTGTGGAATGAGTCTGAGGATGGATTGGGTTGAGCTAAGCTGCAGCACCCAGGAGTGTGCATAAGAGCCAGATGGCATGTGGGAGAGTCTGGACTAGGCTGCAGCAGATGCTGGCACATGCCAAAACTGGGGGTAAGGGTGGGCCTGCTGGGGATTATTTAGAACCACCCCAACTAAGTTGTGTATGAAGACTGAACCTTTTCATCAGAGGAAGAGGGATGAGGGTGGAACTGTCCAAACAGCTGCATCCATCAGTATATGCATTGAATGATGAAGGTGATGGACTGAATCTGACCCTTCACTGATGCACACACAAAAGTCAAGTCTGAGGTTATTCCAGGTAAGGTTTCTTGGGGGACTCCCAAACTGGATTTCTTTTTTTCAGAGTCAGGTCTCAGGGAAAAATCACAATATGCATTGTCCAACCTTGAAGTTGTCTGTATAGTGCACAACAAACCTAGATGCACACAGGGAACATGACAGTCAGTAGAAGATGCTAAATGTTGGGGGTGGGCCATCCTAGGTCATTTCGCTTTCATCAGAAGATGGAAAGCAAAAGAGATTGAACAATTCTCTTGGCCAAGTTTTATGGCATGTTCTTGGATGTGTGATTTATTTATTTATTTTTAAAATTGTATTATGTGATACAGTTTTATAGGCACTGGGGATTCCCCCCACCTCTCCCATACCCCTCCCCCCATAGTGGATTCCTCCACCTTGCTACATAACCTCAGTTCAAGTTCAGTTGATATTCCTTCATTGCAAACACATACCTAGCATAAAGTCCAGCATCTTATTGTCCAGATAAGTTCAGTGGCCTTTTGGGGAGACCTTCTCTGGTCTGAAGGTAGAGCTAACAGTGTAAAGTTCCAGTCAGTTAAAAGCCCCAACAAAACCTCAGCATCAATATACAACATTATGGAATTAATTGACATAGTATTGGGTAAACAATATGTTAAAAATAATGCAAGTTTCATTCTTCGAAACATCTGGGTTGAGACAGTATCAATGACAGGTTCAAAAAATAACAAACAACTAAACAAAAATTACAGGTTAAATCAAGGCAAACATGTGGTATCTAACCTTTTGGGATTCGCTCATTTCCCTTAGCATTATAGTTTCCAGTTGGGCCCATTTAGCCACAAAGAACTGCATTTTGTTTTTTTTAATAGCTGAGTAGTATTCCATGGAGTAGATGAACCAAAGCTTTCTTATCCAATCTTCTGCTGATGGGCATTTTGGTTGCTTCCATGTTTTTGCAATTACTGATTGTGCTGCTATGAACATAGGGATGCATGTTGGTTTGTCATAAAACAGGTGTTTTGGATATATTCCTAGGAGTGCTATTGCTGAGTCATATGGTATGCAGATTTTGAGTTGTTTGAGTGTTCTCCAGACTGATTTCCATAAAGGTTGTACCAATTTGCAGCTCCACCAGCAGTGGAGTAGGGTTCCCTTTTCCCCGCATCCTCGCCAGCAAGCGTCGTTGGTGTTCTTGTTTATGTGGGCCAATCTTACTGGTGTTAGGTGGTACCTCATCGATGTCTTAATTTGGACTAAGGTGAACCAATTGTTCTTGGACAGATTTGCTCAAACCCAAAACAATGAAACCAACAACATCACAGAACTACCAAAACACTCAAGTAACACCCTCAGGACATTCTTTCACACACTGGGGCCTCTAAGGCATCATCAAATAACCATTCCCCATTCCCAGGTGCTGATATAGTTTGACAGCAAGAACCAGCTCTTTCCCTCACCTTCTCTGTGGACATTGCAGAAAAAAAGAAAAAATAAACAAACAAAAACAAATAAAACATGATATGTATGACCCTCTCACCCTAATCAGAGGCTCACATCAATGTGCATCTCTCCAAACTATGTAAGCAATATTAAAAATAAAGTAATAGGTTCAGCCACAGGGCTTAGGTGAAAGGAGTCCTCAGAAGCATGGCAGCTGCAAAGGGTACCTGAGCCAGGTCTGATCCAATGCTTGGGACTCAGGCCATGGCCACTGCTGCCACACAGTGAGCAAGTCCTGGGCTTTTGGGTGGCCAGCATGTCAAGTGGTGCCATGCTCTACTTTCTGGCCACCCAGCAATGAGCTCTAGAGTTTAACTGCTACCTAGGGACATCCATAGATAAAGCCAATGTTAGTGTGGGTGAGGGATGAATCGTGTGTGGCTCCCACTGACAGGGTCACTAAACTTGCTGGCAAGCATGGGGACTGAGAACTGGTGGTTTGGAAGAACGTGAGTTGGGATGGGGACAGACCAGACCAGGCAGGGATACAACACCTGTGGGCCTCATGTGAGCTAGATGAGGAAAGAGCCAAGCTTGGTTTGCTGTCCCTACCAGTGCAAGCATAAATCAGAATGGGTTAGGGTTGGTTAGGCTATGCTGCAGCATCAACTTGCAAATGCTGGCAAGGGGGAGGGATAATTCTATCGTTAAACTGCAGAATCACCTGGAAAGTGCATGATCCAGAAGTGGGCCCAGTAGAGAATCAGTGGGCACCTCCCTCCTAGGATGCCACACCATCTGGGGAGCATGAGAACCAGAACTTGAGCAGGCATGGCTAGACAGAGAGTGGCACCCACCGGCATGTGTGGGCTGGATAGTGCAACTGGTTGGGTTGAACTAGGCTTCAGTGCCCATTAACATACATGAGAGCTGAATGGAATGTGGGACAGACTGGAGCAGTCTGTTGTACATACTGGCAAGCATGGAAACCAGGGCAGGGGCCAAGCCTAGTGGTGGTTACTGGGAGTCACCCCAGTTAGGCTGCAGCTCCCACTGGTTTACACGGTCAAGTGTTTGGTGAGCAGGATTGGGATGGACTCCAACACCCACTGGTTCATGTAGAAGATGTGGATGGAGGCAGAACTGATCCAGCAATTGCAACCACCAGCATATGCATAGGTTGTTTTGGGTGATGGACAGACCACTTCAGATTAAGTTTCTTTGGGGATCCCGCCAATCGAACTGCGGAACTCAGAACCCCAACCATGAGAATTGCAGTTTCAATGGTCTGACCATGGCGTGTGTGTGTCAGAGCTGAGCCTCCTCGGTGGCTCAGTCAGAGCAGTGGACAGTACATCCAGCTGTTCATAGAGGATATTGAAGTACTTTAAAGCCTGCAGAAGACAGCTGATACTACAATAGAGGACAGAAAAAAAAATGATCAGCTACCCCAGCCAAGCATTGGCAGTGAATACCTGGGCAAGTGGAGATGCTAAAGTGGACTAAGTCAGCCAGTGGATTCTGAAAAGATTTCATTGTGCTTAGAATGGTAAGACTAGCAGAAATTCAGAACAGTTGAACTATCAAAACTACTTGAACAGTGCCTTCATAGCATGCCCCATATCAGGGACCCTGGGATGGTTGGGAGGGTGGGTGTGGCTTCTCCCTTTGTCTCTCCCCTTCCACCAGATACAGGAAGAGAAAAAGAATGTGGAAGCAATGGTCTTACACACTTTCCTTTAGCCCTTGACCCTTTGTGCCCTAATCAACTATGTAAAGATTATCAAAATTAAAAAATAAATAAATAAAATAGAACAAGTATGTCAACATTTTTAGACCTATTTCAACTTTTTCAACACCTGGTAAAATGTTAATGAAATTTCAAATAATTTTATAAATGTCATTAGCCTTTGCCTCCCAAGCTCATTTCATGAAGTTTGAAATTTTTTGAACTTTTAAAAAAATAACATTAGATGTACATTTTTAAAAAAATGCCTAAATTGTGAGACCTTAAACTTTTTCTGCCTCTGGTCAAAGCTTATAAAGAAAAATTGTTATTCTTTGTCTTACAGAATCCTAGACAAAGATGCTGTCATTTTCCCTGAATTTTGACATTTTCTAAAATTTTAATAAAATCAAACTTGATGTAAATTTTCAGAAAATGCCCAAATTGTGAGATCTGCTTCAACTTCTTCAGCCCCAGGTAAAACCCTAATGAAATTTTTTTCATTAAACTTTTACCACAGGTCAAAAAAGTTGAAATATACCCAAAAAAGCTGATATTTTCTGAAAAGTTGCCTTCAATTTTATTTTATTAAAACTTGAGAAGATTTGCAAATTACAGAAAATGGTATGATGCTTCTGTTGTATAAGCACAAGAAGCAAAGGGTATTATTGTTTTTCCAGAGTTTGAAAGAAGTTAAACTGTGCCTAAAAAATGTTGATGTTCTATGGAATTTTACGAAACAAAATTAGGAAATTTCAAGATTCATGAAAAATGGCATTGCACTTTCAACCTGTGAACATGGAAGACAAAGTTACATTACGATTTTGCAAGATGTTGGACCTGCCGCAATAGCATAACAGTTAAAGTTCTTGCTGTACACGCACTGGGATCCCATATGGGTGCCGATTCTAATCTGGCTGGCCCCCGTTTCCCATCCAGCTCCCTAGTTGTGCCCTGGGAAAGCAGTAGAGGATGGTCCATAACCTTGAGACCCCCCTGCCCTCGCGTGGGAGACCTGTGAGAAGCTCCAGGCTCCTGGCTTCAGATCAGCACAGCTCCATGGCTGCTTTGGGAGTGATTCTTTTTTTTTTTTTTTTTTTTTTTTTTTACATTGCATCATGAGACACAGTTTTACAGGCACTGGGATTCCCCCATCCCCTCCCCAAAACCCGCTTTCCCCCCACCCCATGGTGGATTCTTCCATCTTGTTGCATTACCACAGATCAAATTCAGTTGAGATTTTTTCCCTTGCAAGCATCTACAAAACATAGAGTTCAGCATCTTATTGTGCAGATAAGTTCGACAGTTTCATGGGGAGACAGTCTCTGGTCTGAAGGTACAGCCGAAAGAGTATCATCCCAATCAATTGAAAGCCCCAACATTACATCAGTAACAATTTATAACGTACCAGAATTAGTTGATATGATATTGTGTAACCAGCATGTTCAAAGAGAGACAAAACAACAACAACAACAAAAAAAGAGTACAAGTTCTGAACCACATCCTATGACTTCTGCATTGACATTACAATTAGTTTATATACAGCTGGGTTCTATACACCTTAAAATGGCTATAGATTACTATTCAGCTCTCATGTCTATTTTAATTTTAGTATTTAGCAGTTCATAGTGTTGAAGCCTGATTTTGCAGAAACTGGCTGTTTTTCGGATAGCCTAGCTCTATAACTGTAACAAGACATATGTCAACAGTTTAGGTGATCGGTTTTAGGAGGGGTGTGCAGAGAAATCCTCAATACCCTAGTGAGGAGCAACCAATCTTCGTGTCCCACCCAGTGAGTTATAAGTGCATCCCCCCTGCCCATTTCCTATTTCTAAGCTTTCCTTGCTGTTCTCCATCTATTCTAGGTTTTTTTTGTTTGTTTATCTGTTTATTTGTTAATTTGTTTTGAGGGGTTTCTGGAGCAATCCTGATGGTCATTATGAGAGAGAGTGGGGACCCAAAATTAGAACCAGGCAAGAACCAGAGAAAGCTCCTCTCCCTAGTCCCAAAGGAAGTTTACTGTTTTGTTTCTGCGGACCACTCAGTGCTCCTGGTTGTCGTTCTGATGACCTTGGATCCTGCAAGGCGGGGTATGGGCTTCTTCCATCCCATGTGTGAGACCCAAATGGAAATGGATGACCTCAGAGTTCTCGGCCTCCGAAGGCACTCCAATTCCCCGTGGTCTCCTTGGCAATTGGGATGTAGTCCTCGGAGCTCGTATTGATAGTCCTTGGTGAGGATCTAGGAGTCTTCAGAGTTGGGATACAAGCTTCCTCCTGTCTGCCTGCTCCGGGAGTGATTCTTTGAATGGAAGAGCTTCCTCTGTCTCTCCTCTCCTCTGTATATCTGACTTTCCAGTAAAAATAAATAAATTGGGGAGGGGGGAAGGAATTTGCCAAATATCAAAAAAGTTGAAGACTAAAAAAATTGACATTTTATAAATATTTCTGTTCAAATTTGTGTAACTGAAACTTTAGGAAAAAGGGCACTTCTCTTCTGTCCTATGAACATGGAAGGTAAAGATTAGTGAAATTTTCATGAAATTTAAAAGTACTTTGAAACTTTATAAGGAGTTCATTTTGGTTTACCAGATGTTCAAAAAGTTGAAGTAGGCCTAACAAATCACAGAAATACTCATTATGTTTCTGTGCTATGAATATGAGCGGCAAAAGCTAGTGAAATTTTATAAAGGTTTCGTTAAGGTTTTATCAGAGTTTGGAAAAGTGGAAACAGGCCTAAAAATTTTGACAGTTGAAGAAATTTTACATCCAATTTTTTTATTAAAAAGTCAGGAAATGTTATTATTCATTCTTCACTTCCATCAACAAACACGAAAAGCAAAGGTTAGTGAAACTTAAAATTACAGAACTTTTATTTGAAAATCCATGGAAGTTTTATTAGCATCTTACTAGAGGTTGAAAAAGTTGAAGAATGCTTAAGCACTTTGACATTTTATTAAAATTGTGTCCAATTTTTATTTTATTAAAACTTTATGAAATTTTTAATTTGCAGAAAAATAGCACTATGTTTCCTCCTGTGAACAAGGGTGGCAAGGTTAATGAAATTTCCATAAAATGTCAGAATTTGGGCCCAGCACAATGGCGCAGTGGTCCTCGCCTTGTACGCCCGGGATCCCATATGGGCGCTGCTTCTAATCCTGGCAGCCCCGTTTTCCATCCAGCTCCCTGCCTGTGGCCTGGGAAAGCAGTGATGCACTCACTTGGGGAGTGAATCATTGCATGGAAGATCTTCCTCTCTGTCTCTCCTCTCTGTATATCTGCCTTTCCAATAAAAATTAAAAAATAAATCTTTAATTTAAAAATAGTCAGAATTTTTCTGAGGATTTTACACAAGTTTTAAAAGTTTAGATATCCTTAAAAATGCTGGCAGTTTTGAAAATGTATTAAATTTTAGGACACTTTGGATTTCGTAGAAAATTCTAGTTTTCTTCCAGTCTACAAATTTGGGAGGCAAAGATAATGAAACTTACAACCCTCTAAGATATCTTTCAGGATTTTACCAAAAGTCAAAAAAGTGAAATTATGCCTAAAAGGTTTTATAGTCTATGAAAATATACATCCAGAGTCTCCCAGCAGCTAGTGGGTCTCAGGATGGGGCGTCTCATGCCTGGATCCCAGATAGCCGCCATGTGCACATGGTGAGCCGTTCCCGGGCCTGCTGGGCTCCAGGGGCAGCGCCCTTCGGGGTGAGTAGACCTAGGGGGAGGTCTCTGTGACTGGGCAGGTCCGGAACCCACCCACCGCCTTCATTTGGTGGTGAATGGGATTGGGGAGGGGCGTGACCTTGGGCCTGGGAATTTAAACTTCCAGCACCCTCCCGGCTGCTGGTGGGTCTCAGGATGGGGTGTCTCATGCCTGGATCCCAGACAGCCGCCATGTGCACACGGTGAGCTGTTTCCAGGCAGCCTGTGTGCCATTTGGTGCCAGGCTCCGCCTGCTGGCTGCCCAGCCAGGGAGTTCTGGGGATTTGGTTCTTTGAGTCGCTCCTTAATTAGCTCCAGGTTGATCCCATTGTGCTTCTAGGACCTGAAACATGCGTAAAGATTCCCACTGGCAGTAACTCTTCCTTTGTAAAACTTGTAATCACTGAACAATGCCGATCACCAAACACCAGTCCATGCAGAAGCTATGGCTTGGGGCTTGTCCTGCAAAGGTAGCTCCAACAGCTGGCTAATGTATTAACTGGTAATGGAACAGAGTAGATCCGGCACAACTGAGCAAACCTTAGCCCACAAGCAAAACTAGAAACCAGGAGGGAGCACAGGTCAGGCTGAGCTAGGCTCTTGTACCTGCTGGTCCACATTAGCCAGGGACCCCAAGCCACAGTGTCTAAGGCAGAGGTCGGGACAGGTGAGAGGCTGTGCCAAGCTGAGTTGGAGCAACCACTGCCATGCAAGTGATCTATGGCTGGGAACAGGCCCGGTCGGGGAGCTAAGGGGACAACCCTAACTGGGCTGCGGTTCCTGCCAAGGGGCGTGTGACCTGGAATGGGGGCTTCATTCTGATCTGGAAATGGTTGTAGCCTCCCTTGGCACAAATGTGGACTGGGATTGGATGCACCAAACTGGGCCAGACCGCAACACCCCCTGGTGTCCTGGAGGACCAAGGTAGATGTGCGATGGACTAGGCAAGGTCTCAAACCCCTACTGAGCCATATATGAGCCATAGCTGGGTATGGACAAACCATGGCTGGGCTGAAACATCCAACAGCAAGAACCAGATTGGGTTGAAGGCCAGTCAGGAAAAGCCACAGTTCCTGCTAAGACAGGAGGTGAACTGAGTAGGGCTGGCTTATGGACCCACTGGTAAGCGTGAAACCTGGCATTGGGAGAGATTCTGATGGAGGAGCCTGGGCAACTCCTCTGGCAAGACACAGACCCGGCAGTTAAGTACAAGAAACATGATAGGAAACAGCCCAGAACAGGCCATGGAAAGTTACCCACTAGCATACAATTGACAGGGGTTGGGGAAAGACCAGGCTGAATCTGTCCACGCCATCCACTGGCAAATCCAAGCACCAGTGTGGGTCGAGCCAGGTTCGGTCGCAACAATGACTAGTGCACAATACGGAATGCCAAGGTGAGGTTGCCTGTGCCGGAAGGGACCGCAGCGCCCAACCAGCAAGTGTGAGAACAAGGAAGGGATGGGGCAGAGCTGGCAGGGTAATAAGAG